AGTAACAATTACGTGAAGATAATTGACGATAAATCACTCAAAGATCCACAAAACAAATGACTAGAGCAAAAAAGAGCAGAGGCAACAAAGACTGGAAAATTATTCAGCAAAACACTCAAGTCTACTTACAATCACTAAACCAAAAACCTAACATTCGCAGCTACCAAATGTAAATTTTTTTTTTTGACTTCTTGTCATTCCATACTATACTCCAGCTTTCCTCAACAAAAAACTAGTAATCAGCAACAGTTAGCATGATCAGTCGAAGCTAAGATGCCACTCAAAACTTCAAAAAAATAAAAAAAATAAAAAAAAACAGAATAAAACCACTGAAACTCACTAAAGTCAAGAAGCCATTTCCGTTGGTCCCAATACTACTCAGAATAAAAAGTAGATTAACAACCAAAAACACAAAATAAGCCAGAAAACAACCAAATGGAACGCCTAAGCGAAAACCCAAGCGCGAAACCCAAGTTCTAGCCTAGGCCCGAGCCATAAACCATCACATAACGAAAAAATATCAAAAAAAACATTTAAAAAAGAGAAAAAGGTAACCAAAAGGAAAGCAGCAACCTTTTAGACTTAATCATAACAATTAACTTTACGGAAGAAAACCAAAAACCGCAGCAGCATCCAAACTAGAATAAAAGTTTACTCTTTTTACATAATCCCAAACATTACTTCAGACAAAGTTACGGACAAACTACAAAAACTAGTACGAGCCCTGCCACCACACTCTAAAACGAACATTTAGAGCATTCATCTCTATTCAACAAAACCCACTACGAAGCAATTAACTAGAAACCTTTGAGATCGACAAACCAAACCTAAACAACTCAGACTCCACCGAAGGAAAAGCAGAGAAAAACACAGGAACCTTGACTAAACAAACTAAGTCTAGCTATTTTATGAGGTACTGCAAGAAAGGAAAAAGCATTATCAATGTGCCCCTCAGTCTAAAGCCAAATATTCCTTCAATGAGAACTAAGAACCTTCTCAAATACAGTAAGAGTTGTGACGAACATCTCTGCACGGTATAAAAAACTAAATCTAAATTATTTTGACGACATCTCCTATTAGAAATATACGCATGAACTGCAACAATAAAGTATCTTTCTAAGTTCATGTTCACAACGATGATATAAAACGAAGTAGCTTTTACAGGTACAACCCTCATAAACAAAACATACTTTTACAACAGTTCACAACCAACGAGTTCCGTTTCAAAACAAATTAAGTTACTGACAAAATATCATCAAAAAAAACAATAAGTCACTTCAACTACCCTTCTGAAAAAACTGGGAAATCTTCTTAGAAGCGACTTCACGCTCGGGTACTGCTTTTTTCCTCTTCTTACCAGCATGCTCCTTCGAAGCAACAGACTTCTGCCCAACTCTAGAACTTCCCACGGTGCCTGATCCGCCATGCTTACAATAATCAGCAATTTCCTATAAAAGAAAGGAAAGATTTCTAATAGAATACAAAAAAAAAAAAAAAAAAAAAAAAAAAAAAAA